GTGAAACTCACCTTTCGATAAATAGCTTTGAAAATAAAGCAATGCGATCCGAATACCGGCTATATCAACGGTTCCCTATTAATAGGAATAACCAATCATTACTTATTGAATCAACTCTATCTATGGGTTTACTAAATCCTAAGTCCATAATTGTCCACTTTTGTTCCAAAATATTGTCCATAGTCCAAATACATAATGTGTATATGCTCATAATAAGATTCATACCGGAAATATTGCTATAACCCCATAAAATATCAARTTTTACAATATTTAACCAAATCCAAAATTTCAGATTCTGGACAGAAACTTTAAGTTACAAATATGATCCATTAAAGAGACTTAAAGAATGAAATAAGTTCCCATCTTTTTATATGGTTTATAGCACTGAGTTATAGCCATCGTGACCAAATTTCATGAAGATTGGGTAAGAGATGATGCTTCAAATAAATCATGCAATGCAACTTATCACAACTGAAATGGCAGATTGCACCATGCTAGTAAAATACTCATAAATAGAGTTCTACTAGGTTTTCTGCAAATATTCAAGTTGTATTGGAAACCTAACACTTATACGAAACTTTTAAACTAAAAATCACTCATTTTGGATGAGTTGAGAGGAAGATATGATACCTTAAAGTCACATGCACATATCTGCCATCAATTGACAGAATGCACACCTAACTTGTAAAAATCGGTTCATGCCTCAAAACATCGTATTTTTGAGTGAGACTGGATTAAAATSAACCCTAACTCATAAAAGAAAGTTTTAGAAGAAGAATCACACATTAAGGACAAATAAGTAGAAAAATATTAACACACAAAGTAAAGGTTACCCACTGGTGGATTCATATTTTACACACCTATAGAGTTTAAGGTGTTTGGAGATCAAAACTCCATAATTTTATGTGATTCCACTTGAATATAAAATACAATCCATAAATTTAACTCTCAAAAGAAGATTCATCCTTTTTCATTGAGTTATGAGAGAGATAAGGTCGATGTAACACACATATACGAATMTGTCAAAATCGGACAGATTGCATGTTCATCTTAATTTAGGAAAATGAAACCTCAAATCACCACCATTTTGAGTGAAATTGGTGGAATTTGAAAGATATCTCATTAAACTAACATCTAAAAGAAAAATCAACAAATTTGGATGGTTAACCAGAAAGTTATGACCATTCAAAGTAGGATTTACCTACTGAAAAATCTCATATGCGTAGCTATAATGTTTTGAGCATTTGGGGGGTCAAAACTCAATGATTTTGAGTGAGACCAAATGCAATGCGACCCCAACTCAGTAAATAAACTTTTAAAGGAAACCT